GCTTCAACTATCCCCATGTCCCATCTCTGCCCTTTTAGCCACCTTAAAGTCTTCTGTCTCTTCTCCCGGCTGAAATTTATCATTTTTTTCTTTGCGCTACTGATGAGGTGCACCCAGCCAAGGCAGCTGCTATCTCTTTGTGGAGGCCACATGAGGCTTCCACAATGCCATTCCCTGTCACCCAGTGGTGGGTTTCAAAATTTTTTACTACCGTTTCTTTCTGTGGGTGTGGCTTGGTGGGCATGGCATGGCTTGGTGGGTGTGGCTTGGGGGTGTGGCAGGGGAAGGTTATTGCAAAATCCCCATTTCCTCCCGATCAGCTGGGACTTGGGAGGCAGAGAATAGATGGGGGTGGGGCCAGTAAGAATTTTTACTACCGGTTCTCCGAACTACTCAAAATTTCCACTACCAGTTCTCCGGAACTGGTCAGAACCTGCTGAAACCCACCTCTGTTGTCACCCCAGGAGACCTCAGACAACCTCGGGACAGATAGAGGATGCCTCAACTGGGCATATATCAGCAGCAGAAGGAAGAACATAGGGAAGATAAGCTGAGAGCAGCATAATGCAGGACAGCATTATGAGTTCAGGGCAGTCAAAAGGGTAGAGATGGATGGGACATAGGCAGGTGAGGGTTGTTGAAATTCACTCTGCAATCATAAATATGGGTTGGGTTGGCAAGTGCCCAAATTTTGATAACTTGACCATGGAGATACTGAAAAGGCTGCAGCTTCAAGGACTTGTAATTACCATTTGTTCAGCTCTGTTGTAACTTTGAACAATCACTTAATGAATGTTGTTAAGTGAAGACTTCCTGTACACTGGGTCCTGAATTAACATCACCCTCCTAGTAAATCACCCCAAGTGTTCCATAAAAAGCATTTTTTCTATTGGCTGATCAATCCATAGAAATTTCAAAAAAGGTAGCAAAATATTGTTCAGTCACCATTGTACAAGCCAATTCTGGACATAATTAAATTCTCAAAGATTGTTTCATGTCAAAAACCAATTAGTTATATTTTTCTCTTTTAATATTTTAGTTTATAACATGTCTGTTGTTGACGTTTCCCAGAATTTGGGTCTATAATTGTAAATTAAATTTCACTGATTGATTGTGTTTCACATTGATTGCAACATATATATGAAATGGGGGGGCTGGAGAGAGAGAGAGAAAGACAGTGAGAGAAAGAATTTTGTGCAATGCTCAGTTAGTTTATCAAACTAGGCTTGCTAGGTTGAAACTAGAGATTCTCCACCTAATACCTAACAAATGTGTGAAGGTGAGATTCTGCATAAATGTGTGCAAATCCCCGACCTCCGTGCCTTCCGTCGTGCGCTGAAGACCCTGTTATTCCAGCAAGCCGGTCTGATGGGACAATAATTTTAATCGGGTTTTAAATATGGGTTTTTAACATGGTTTTATAAGGGTTGTAGAATGGCAATTTTAAATTCGGCCAAAAATTGAATTATTTTAATATGGTTTTTAAATTTGTCTTGTATATTGTTTTATTATGGCTGTTCATCACCCTGAGTCCTTTGGGAGAAAGGCGGTATAAAAATATAATCAAATCAAATCAAATCAAATCAAATCAAATCAAATCAAATATGCAAGTGTGTATACATAATTGCCAGAAGCCAGTTATTTTTTGAACTGCTACTTCAAACAATCCGTATTTATTTATACTAATCAAATGAAAGTACCTCATAAAGAGAAGTGTACAGCATACAAATGTATGTAGACATACATTGTCTTCTCTCTCTTCAGCAAAGAGCAAAAAAAGATGACAGAGCAGAATACAGATGGGTTAAGAGGAAATAATAATGACAAAATGAAAATAGAGATTAGAGGAAGAGAAAGGACTTCTGAACAGGAAATGAAAGGAAAGAGAGAAAAGGCCTTTAAAAATTAATTTGGCTTGAAGAACTTCTTACGCAATTCTTTTTTTTTTTAACAGACTCTTGTTCTCTACAAATGTATGACCTCTTTCAATTCATAAGTAATTATCTTGGGAAAAAATTCCAAAAGAATAAACAGGATACATATTTTAAATATTTAATCTGCAATCCTAATTTTATTTATATTTATGTGGGAATGTGTAATTGCAATTGGACAAGATTTATGAGCAACCATAGATATTTCCTCTACATGTTGCAATAGACTACATGTTGCAATAGACATGCAATAGTTTAAAACAAGTATGTAACAGGACCTTTTTCTGTTATGGCATCCAGACAATGTGAACAATGTGAAATACCTTTCTTGGGAGCTCAACCTGGCAGTCACTACAGAGATTCCATTAGTACATTAAAAAAAGTACTAATATCACAGATAGTAAACTCATTTTTATTACTCTGTTTAACTTCTAACTGTCTGTATGAGATAATTTTCAGAGGTACAACAGATACATTTCCCCTTCTTTATTGCTGAATCAGTGGAATGGATATAAGACAAGCTCACATGCAAGGAATCTGAAGGGCTGATGACTTCTTCATGTATAAATTTTGCAAATATAGGGTTGAGCATGCTTGAAAAATGATTTGGAAATAGTGCCCTTAAACGCCCAGGAGCTTTTCTGCTTCTCTTTACTGTTTCTGTACACACACACACACACACACACACACACACACACACACACACCAGAGGTGGGTTTCAGCAGGTTCTCACCAGTTCTGGAGAACCGGTAGCGGAAATTTTGACTAATACAGAGAACCGGTACTAAAAATTCTGATTGGCCCCGCCTGCATCTATTCTCTGCCTCCCAAGTCCCAGCTGATCGGGAAGAAATGGAGACTTTACAGTATCCTTCCTCTGCCATGCCCACCAAGCCACACCCACAGAACTGGTAGTAAAAAATTTTGAAATCCACCACTGACACACACCACATAAACCTGAAAAAGATCTAGTCCTTCAGTGACCCACATAAAAAAAAAATGCCCTGATGAGCCAATTCCCCAAACTTGTACATCATCTTGCCCTCTGAATGCTGGAAAAGCAATTCACACATTTAATACTTAACTAATCATGCAACTGGTCACTAAATACTAGATAGTCATTTTATCTTCTCTGTCCCTGAAGCAGCATTCCAAATTTCCCCCAAAGACTCTGAAACTGGAGGGTCATCTGGAGTAATATATCATGAAAAATTGGAAAACAATTACACTGGATTACAAATAGAAATAGCAATAGCATTAAGGCTTATATGATACACCATACGCTTTACAGTAATCCCTGGGCAGTTTACAATGTAAGCATTATATGTACATTGCCCCCAATATCTATATCCTCATTTAACTGATCACAGAAGGATGGAAGGCTGAGTCAACCTTGAGCCCCATCAGGATTGAACTTCTGGCTGTGGGCAGAGTTAGCCTGCAATACTGTATTCTAACCACTGTGCCACTAGGGCTCCTAGGCAATAATTAAGCCTATAATAAATATTCTTTGCCTGTATTCTTCACAGTTGATACTTAAACACTAATAAAATTTTAAAAGGCATATCAGAAAGACTTTGCCAATTGAAATAAAAATACACTGAAATAAAATGAAGGTTAAATTGGGTGCTAAATTAGTTTCATATAAAAAACAACTGTAAAAATATCCACGTCAATCTCAAGGGAGACACTATGAAAAAAACCAGGGAATCATCCATAAACGAAAGGTTGATTTTCTTATTCAGCCTTTCTACTCCAACATCTGCTTTGAGTGTTAGATGTCCCTCCATGGGTCAATCACCTACTCAGAAAAGAATTAGAAAGCAGTATATTATACATTTTTAAATTTGTATATTAATTTGAGGCTTTCTCAGGTTGCACAAATACCATCCTGTATTAGCAGATTGAGCGGTTCAACTCTTTTATATGCAGACAATATTGAAATCATGCCTGTCTGCCTGCCTGCCTGTCAAGTGGGAATGAAAAAGGCACTGGCCACTTTTTATTTCAAAGAAAAACTTGTACTAAAGCACCAGAAAGCTAATGTTTTAATATTTGCACAGATCGAACGTAAAATCCATAGTTGTTAAATTAATTGGAATTCTACTGAACTGGTACATACTTATTACATCTTGTATACTAGATCTCACTGTCCTGGAGAGAACAGCAGAATTGCTGTACTAAGATTCTACCATCAAAGCAGAGCACCTTTTCCACCTGTAGCCTTTTCTCAATATCTGTATTTTCTCAGCATCTGTATTGTTCCCCCTTTGTACCCCTTTTACAAAGCTTGACATTCTTTAAGCTGTTCAGTCTGAATTGAGTAAAACTATTTTTTTTATTGAAAAGTTTTGTAAGAAATAGAAACATTTTCACCCCCCCACCCCTTCTTCCCCTCCCTCCCCCCCACCCCCCTCTTAATTTATTTATTTATTTATTTTATTTTATTTTATTTTAAATTTTTATACCGCCCTTCTCCCTGAGGACTCAGGGCGGTGTACAGCCAAAATTAAAAAACATGCAATACAAATATTAAAAAACAATTAAAAGATATATAAATTTGGCCCAATTAAAACTCACTACTGATTAAAACATTTAAAATTTTATTCTTAAGCCAGCCCGGCTTGCTTGAAAAAATGGGTTTTAAGGGCACGGTGGAAGGCACTGAGGTCTTGGATTCTCCTTATCTCTGGAGGCAGCTGATTCCAGAGGGTAGGTGCCCCCACAGAGAAGGCCCTCCCCCTGGGGGTCACCAGCCTGCACTGTTTGGCTGATGGCACCCCGAGGAGGCCCTCTCTGTGGGAGCACACGGGTCGATGGGAGGTCGTCGGTAGCAGCAGGCGGTCTCGAAGATAGCTAGGCCCTATGCCATGGTTCACAATTTATCCTATGAGCTGATATACCAAATAAAACAACACAAAACATGAAGATGATAGTCAACATTTTACCAGCTCTCAAGGCCCATAAATATAGGCCTGTGGGTAGGTGCACACCGAAGTTCTAACCATGAGATCATAAAAGGGGCAATCACAGCCCTATCATAAGCAGGAGGAAGACATCCATCAGTTCTGTCAAAGAACATTCTGAGGAAGGAGAAGATAAGAGAACAAAGCCTAGGATGAAAAATTATTGGCATAACGGAAGACAAGGAGAAAGACATTTCTCAGAAATGACAGTGTAAGGCACTTGGCCTTAACAAACAAGAAGACAAAAGGAGACAACCGAATGACTTTCTTATTGCTTATTCTGGTCACAAATTCCCATCGAGGAGAAGAAATCAGGTCTGTCAAGTTAAAAATCTCAAAATGCTGGGAGCTGAACTGAAAGAAGCAGCAGGAAAAACTTTAAGGAAAAAAAAAACATAACCTCCCAGTGATCTCTGACTGGAGAAAGCATGTCAGTTCCTATTGTTTGGGTCACTCTAGGAGAAATAATCTGGATGGAAGTAAAAAAAAGCTATTTGGAACTAGGTTGTAATTAGGGAAGTATCCTTGGTTAAGGTAATAAGAGAAATGGGAACCGATACTAGGAAATATTAGGCTGCATTCAGATTTTTTTCAGAATGAATGAATATCCTTCTAGCAGGTTGCACTAACAAATAGTTGACAAGTACTAGCAGACTTCCTTGAACACATACCACAACTAGGCCCCAAGCAGAAGCCCTTGGATTTCACTGTTGTGGATGAGTAGGAACAAGATTAGTCCCAATGGAAAAAAAGCTTACAGTAATAGAATGACCCCTGAAGGATGCAACCCAATGACATCTCAATATTCATAATATAGAAATAGTAAAAAAAACTTTTTAAAAAGTTATTTAGAACCATTATCCTCTAGTATATCTTACAGCATCAGTATCCACATCATCATGTAGCAGGGATATAGACAAGCACATAGGGAGAAAGAGATTAAGAGAGGGCAGGACCACTTCTCAAATTAATATATAATCGGGAATGTAGTTTCTTGGAGATCTGCATTATTATTATTATTATTATTATTATTATTATTATTATTATTATTTTTCATATTTGTATACCGCCCTACTCCCGAAGGACTCAGGGCAGTGAACAGCCAAAATAAAATACACAGATATACAAAGGTTAAAAACTATTAAAAACAGATTAAATAATTTAGGCTCAAAAAATTAAAACATCCAATTTATCTAAAAAACATTTTAAACCCAATTTAAAAGCCAATTTAGAAGGGAGAGTTAGGCCAGACCAGCCTGTTGGAATAAAAACGTTTTTAGGGCCCGGCGGAAGATGCATAAACATACACCAGCCATATTCTCACCCTATTTTTGAAATCGCTCTCACAACAGAGTTTACGACAACTCACCACAGCCAATTCACCACAGGATAACTCGCCACGGGACAACTTGCCATGGGACAAGAGTTACACTAATATCAAAGAAATGGTGGGATAGAATCATTAAAGAAAGGATGCCAAAGGAGGGATAAAATGAAATGTAAATGACAAAAATTAAAATATTGTTTAAAATTTTAAATAATTAAATTGAATTGTTGAATTGTCCCACAAGAAGTTGTCGTGTGGAGAGTTGGCCATGTTGATTTGTGCCATGTTGAGTTGGCTGTGGTGAATTGGCTGCGGCGAATTGGCCATGGCGAGTTGATTGTGGTGAGTTGTCCCATTTTGCTCATGTTCACATAAACCTCCACACGCTATTTTCCCTGCTCGCAAATTAAGTTTATAAAAGCTTGATTACAATATGGGACAAGAAAAATAACTGAAGTCCAACATATAGTTCTCCATCTGACAGAGACTGCAACCAGGGTGTGCAATTTTTAGGCTAGATAGCCAATCCAGATATAACCCTGCAAAAGAGATGTTTTTTCCTGCCTATTTTATGATCATACCCATACTATAATGTAAAATTATACTTACCCAGACCAACATATAACTAACAAGATCAGCTTTGTAAGCATCTTTCTCTCCAAATTCTATTTTCTACTGTTCTTAATTAGTATTAATGACTTCACTCCTCTGAAACTTCACTAAATTAATTAATTGGACACAGATGATCATCAGAAATATGACCTCTGAAGCCTGACCTAAAATTAACACTAAAGAAAAATCCATTGTTTATGGATTATGAACTGGAGTGTGTGTGTGAGAGAGAGGGGGAGGAAGGGAGGGACGGAACGAGAAATTAGGCACATTAAAAAAAAACAAGCATCTAAAAATAGAATTTATTCAAAACATACAGACTGTGAAAGACAAGGTAAAAATTGGTATGCACAATTTTAAAAAGTATATATAAAATAAATTTCACAAGTGATACGTGTTGAATGCAATGAAAATCCAGCACAGAATAAAACCCTACACATTGCCCTACATATTCTTAATTTGTTGAGGAAGAGAAGCTGAACGAGAAGGTATTGCTTGAAAATAAAATTAAGTTCACTCACTCTGCCTTCTAACTCCTCTATATTCTGATAATTACCAAAGCTTTAACCTCATCAAAAAATAGTATATAATACCTAATACCATCATTAACTTGCAGGCATGCCTATGACCATGCTGTAAATCAAAGTAATTGTTGACATTAGTTCTTATGTTAATGCATCACAGAAATCAAGAATTAAATTAAAAATATATGAAGAAATATATCTACAGTATATGGATGTAATATCCTTAGAGAAGAGGAAAAGCCTTTATTTTGTTTCTTTGTAAACACAGCATTTGACACAAGAGCAATATTCAATAATTAATGGACAAAATGTAATCCCAAATCCCAGAACCTCTGGAGAAGCCACAGCATTTTTCACAAAGCACTTCACCTTGATAGTACTGAACTGGCTCTCTTTCAGTCACAGCTGGCTGACTACTTAATAAAGACAATCTAGGTCAGTTGCTACTTGTTCCTCTAGCTTTGTGTGATGCATTTACACATGCCCAAGAGCTTCACTGCTACTACCATAGGCAACTAATATCACTTCACATTTAAGATGAATCCTGTAGATATGCAGAAGTTCACAAAACCAAGGAAAGCAGCAGGTAAAAGAAAAGGAGAACAAGTTTCTTCTTTGTACTTATGTTAATCTGATGTACATAGTTACTCATTTAAATGCAGATTTAAGCCAATATTTAAAATCCCAACAACAAACTGAATATGGAAAGCTACAATCAGCAGGGTTTGGATTAGATGACATCCAAGATATCTTTTGGTTCTTACAGTTCTAGGATTCTATCTAATGTCTCACCGATAAGTTGAATAAAGATGAGCTATTGTTGTGTAATATCATTAGACTAGACATATAATATGCTTATTTTATTAACCACATGAATTCGACATGTAATAACATTTCTATTTCATATTTAATTCTAAACGTTAAAAAGTTAATGTGGGATTTGCAGGAATCAGAGCACATTGAGATAACTGATTTATAATTTGGCGTGACAGTGACAAATTGTATAACTACCAGAGGATCATAGGCAGGAAAATAGTTTCTCAAAATACTGAAATAAAACACAACGTTATTTTTTAATTGCTGCCAGGCATAAAATGTACTGATGGTTTCAATATGAAACTATCTTTCTTAAGGCATCAAGTTATGAGGAAGAAGGAAGTTTAATTAGCGCACTATGAAGAAAAGAATGTATTGCCTGATATTCTAAAAAGTATTTTCTAATTAAGTGAAGGCAGAGGTGGGACTGTCTGCCCCAAATTTGCTCTGTGTGGCTCATTCGTGTTATTCAAAATCATTCAGAATGTTACTACACTCTGAATTAATGTGGCTAATCGATTTAACCTAATGACAATGTACTTTGTACGAACACAAAAGTCCAATAAGCAATTGCAACACCAGGAGTGGGGGATATACATTTTGCTGCTATGATTGTTTCTCAATTCTATGTCGGTAATATTCATAATTTGTTCTATATTAAAAGATGACAAATTCAGGAAGGAGGGAAAGGAAATGTAGTTTCTTCCCAAAGGCAATATGCCAATGTAAGGTACTATGAAGAAAATGGAAAGTATTTTTATAAACAGCCCTTCAAAATAGAATTTCAAAGAGCATCTGCTCCTACTCTTCATTAAGAGAAAGCCAGTTAGGACACCAGGATAGAAACCAGGAGACTATGCATTCTAGTCCCATTTTAGGCACAAAGCCAGCTGGATGTCTTTGGGCCAGCTGGCTTTGTGCCAGTGCATCTCTCTCAAACTTAGGAAGGCGGCAAGCGCAAACCATTTCTGAAAAATCTTGTCATGAGAAGTACAGGGACTAATCCAAGCAGTCACCAGGAATGAAGACTGACTGGGAAGCATCAAAAGTGAAGTCTTCAATAATGTACTATTAAACATTTTTCTAGTAGAGAAATAAGTAAGTGATTACTATTTGAAGGTTTATATGGAGAATTAGAACATTTGTGTTTGTTCTATAAAGAAGATTGTTGTTGAGGTTCTAGGAGGACACTGAATAAAGCTAGACTCTCCAACTATAATTCATATGCCCAATTTTTTCTGAAGAAGTATGGTTCTGCCTGAATTGTATTTTGGTCAATGAAAAAGTATTCAAAATCCAATTTGGTTTTCTAGCTTTCCTCAAATACAGAAATGCATAAATGGTTTTGGCTATTATCTAGCAGTTGGGGCTTGATTTTACCCAATATTTGCCTTTCATCCCTCCTAAATAATGGTGAAGAGGGGTTATACAATAATTTAAAAAAAAAGAATTACAAGTGCTTGCAATCTCCATTACTATCAGTTCCTGTTCTGCTGGAGTCCATTTTTTTTGTGACTCAGGCTGATCCATTCCCACTGAAACCAGATTGGATTTCAATTTATATACTTATTTGTAACAGAATAACAGTGTTGGAAGAGACCTTGGAAGTCTTGTACTCCCTGTGAAATCACTCTGAAAATTGTGGGGCTCTTGAGATAGAGAAAATTGCCCAAAATTGAAGTTTACTGAAGGACTATTTTCCATACTCACTTCACCTCACTTCCCTTGCCTTACTCCTTCTGAATCCAAGCCTTAACATACATAAAACAATAATCTGATGAAAGCTTTGAGGACAATAGTGTGTATCAAAGGAGCTACAAGTTCTACTCGGCTCACATCATGAGGGGGAAAATGAGGAGAAGTAGCTTTTGTTCCATCTCCATTACTTATTGTTCCTACTGGAAGGATTGCATCTTCCACTTCAGGGCATTTTTGATGGTAATTGAATGGATCCAACATCTTTCTCAACTTCAACTAACATGTTTTTTGGAAAGTAAATTTTTCTCTTTACTGATTATATCACATCAGTACTACAT